ATAATTATATGTTATAAATTATATTTATAATAAATTATTATTATTTATATTAAATTTATTATAAATTATTATTAGTTAATATAAATTATTATTCTTATTTATGTATCTCAAAATTCACCATTGTAAGTAACCCAATTCCCATTTGAATGATACAACACACATATATATCTATATCTATATATATATAGACTTTTACAAATACAAGTTAAATGTATTTCTATGTAAATGAACTAAGAGTTTATCTTACCGAGATTTGGTGCTACCAATGGACATTGTTGCATCATCGTGTTATTCGTGGTATTCGAAGCATATTGAGGCCTTCCAGAAGGCAAACCAATGACGACGTTGTTGTTATTATTGTTGGTCGGAAATATTCCAACACTATCAGCATCGGTATCAACAACAGGAGTCTCAGTTTTGTTATTATTCGTGAGAACACTTCCATTGGTATTCCCTTTGCCAATTGATTCGAATATTTTTGATGATGAGACATCGTTGTTACTGATATTATCATTATTATTATTATTTCCGAAAATATTTTTGACAGTAGCTGGACCGTATATTATCAATCCACGTGGATGATTTCTATACGTTCGATCTGCATACCTGAAAAATAAACAAAATAAAGTAAAATAAATAATAATAATATTTTAATATTGATTTAATTGGTATTTATATTATCATTTTTTATTAAATTGTTTATAATTATTGAATAAAATATATAAAAAAGAGATAATGTATTAGGGTTAATGTATAATGGTTCAATTAATAGAAATGTATCAAATATATGCGAAACTTCAAAAGTCATCTCAATAGTTCAATAAATAATATCCCATTGTTCATATTTATGGATACACAAAATAGAGACAACAGTTAAACTAATAGGATTATATATATATATATAAATAGATAGTACTAAACTTTAAAACTAATCTAATGTAACCATTACTCTATTGTCCATATTTGTGGATACACAAAATAGAGATAATGGTAAAACTAATAGGATTATATATGTATATATAAATAGATAGTACTAAACTTTAAAACTAATCTAACATTTCCATTACCCTATAGTCCATGTTCATTAATACACAAACTAAAAACAATGGTTAAACTAATATAGGAATATATATATATATATATATATATAAATATGTAATACTAAACTTTAAAAATAATCTAATATTTCCATTACCTTATTATTCATATTTATTGATACAAAAAAAAAAAGCAATGGTTAAACTAATATAGGAAAATATATTATTAAAATTATAAAACTAATTATATATATATAAATACCTAATACTAAACTATAAAACTAATTGAACATTTCCATTACCCTATTAATTGATATACAAAATAATAGACATAGTATCACCGATCTGATTAAGATTACCAAACTAATAGGAATAATATACATCATATATATGTATACCACATGAAAGATATTCTACAATACCTCTACCTTGATAGCTATAACGTAATTAGATTGTACAGAGTAGATACTAATAGCACAGTAGACGAAGGAAGACCATCAAGTTCTCGCCTTGAACGTGATTCCAGATACTGAGAATGAGTGACTGAGGTGAGTGTAGGTATATGAGAGAGAGCGAGTGAGAAAGATGGTAATAGTACACACAGAGGTTAAATAGACAAGGAGCATGAAAGAGAGAGAGAGAGATGATATCGATCGATGGTTAATACCAAATCTAACGGTGCATCGAACTATCCCTTAGAACCTAATTATCCTTCGACAGGTAACCCCTGTGCAGGGGGTGGATCAACCACATGTGTGAAATGTGCATGTAAACCATTACTATATCTCTCTCGTAACTGACTATGCACCATTTCCTAATCGTGCGTTTATACACATACACACATAAATATATATACACACACGTATATGTGAAAGGTTGTGTTTGACGATTAGAAACTCGATCGAGCATTTAACAGTTAGCTTAATGCTATAACCTACCACTGTGTTATTGGTCTAAGCAAATCATTTGGATTATACCTTACTTGAGAATAAACTTCTAACTACGAGGAATTTTTATTTTATTTTTTTTTCACATCTTTTATTATTATTATTATTATTATTATTTTTGTAAAACAATTCCACAAGGATATGGAATTTAATTATCGCGTTTAGTAAGAAACACGTAATACTTATTTTTCTTTGTATTTTCTTATCTTTCTTTCCTTCTTCTCTCTTATACCAAGAATCGAATCAATTAATTATAATACTTTTTGCAAGGTTTATTATTGTAATATTAAATATTATTATTGAAACAATGTTGTTGTTTTTTCTTTTCTTTTCTTTTTTTTTTTTTTTTTTTTTTTTTTTATTGATAGATAGCAACGGTAATCTTCAGGAATAGAGAAAGGAATAAAAAAGAAAAAATAAAAAAAAAAAAAATAAAAAGAGAATTAAAGGAATCAAAGTTCTCGGATTTGTGCTTTCCTTTCCTCTCATCCCACCCCGTTCTTTCATCTTTCAACCACTCAGCATCTCTTTCATTTTCTCTCTCTCTCTTTCTCTCTGGTTTTCTTACGAGCTGACGATGCAGTATTCTGATAATTGCTTAGAACCCAAGAAAATAAGTCAGGGAAAATTGGTCGCAGGATTTATACAGTCTTGATCATGAAGATCACACATTGATATGTATGCAGTTCAAAATGACGTCTTCTTTTTCTTCTTGGCACCGTTACATTCCTTTTTTTTATTTTTTAATTCTTCTTATGATATTAATGACGTTGCGGTGCCGTATGTATTATGCGATATTGTGTGTAAATATGTGTGAGTGTGTGTGTATATATACATATATGTTTATGCAATGTAATGTAGTATAGTAAGACTGTATCTAGGATGAAAAAATTCCTGCTATAATCGTCGGTTGGTTGCAGTCAGTTGCATAACGGTAAAAATTGCGGATACGCTTATTGGAACGTGGACGAGTTCGAATAGTCAAGAAGTCGATTCAAATTGGTGTCATATTATAAAATGATCTGTAGAATTAATTAATCATAAATGTCATAGTGTGTTAGTTTAATCATATAACGTGTGTTCTTGTTAAAGTATAAACAAATATATTATCGAAAATTATTTTTGTTGCAAGAAATAGAATTTTATGTTTAATACATAATTGTTCTTTTATTTTTCATTATTTAGATTTTAACCATATAGAATATATCTAAAATTGTTTTGTATTTATTTTAATAAAAAAAAAAAAAAAAAAAGAACAACAACAAATTGTAAGAGTACACGTCTCTCTCTCTCTCATATATTTTTCTTTTTCTAAATTAATTTTTCTCTTTTTTCTCGAACAGAAGTTTTGAATTTTGTTGGTTGCAAAGTTTAAGATTTTTCTTTACACCTTTTTAGATTTTAACCAAACTACTTTTTATCATTTATTTTTCTACATTTAGGATATCTTCCATTTCTTTCTTTCATTTTTTCCCTGTTGGTTGTTGCAATGGCAATTTCCGGGTATCCAGTGAAGCAAGCATCTTACACTTTTCCCTTTTACTTGCCAATACACCTTAAGAATTCTTTTTCTCTTTTTTTTTCTTTTTATTTTGTCCTGTGTATACATGTACCATGTACACGTACGTATATATACAAGTATGTATCCACGTTTATATATATATATATATATATGTTTCAAAAGAAATCACGGTGTACCCTCGTACGAGAGACTCGTCTTTTTCACGCTTGAACCCATCGCGATAAAGGACAGTTTGATTGGAAGGACACTACTAGGAAAAAGAATAGTGAACGGTCACGTTCAAGATATAAACTACGCTTACCGAGCCCTGTCAACGTAGAAAAAGAAATATTACTACGGATATTGAATCGAGAGCTTTTCCTATTTTCAACCCTCCAACCCTCCTCCCTCTCCCTCACACCCACCCCCACACCCCACGCCACCCCTCCTTTTTCTCCTATTCTCCTTTCTCTTCTTTTACCTTTTTCACTCGTTACACAATCTTCTTCAAATATTTTTTTTATCAACATTTTTCATTTCCTACAACTACCACCCACTCACCAACCACTCATATCTAGTTTGTATTATTTATTATTTCAACCATTACTTCAATCTTTACTTTTCAACCCATCAACCGTTCAACCCATTACTATATCTTAGAATTTTGCAATAATCAATGAAACATATTGATTATTATATTATTATATTTGTAAAAAGAATAATGAAAGATATATTTATCAAAGATATGCAAAACGTTTTGAAGCGAGCTTCAGCAGCAAGCATTTTGAAGACAAAAAAAGGGCCCCAAAAAAATTAGAAAAAAATACAGAAATAATCAATATATTTTTATGTTAATTATCGATTTTGTTCCATGGAAAAAGGTTATATTTTATTAATAAATAAATAATTGTTAATAAATAGCTTGTAAATGATAAATATCAAAAAAAATTTTGATTAAAATCGGTTCAGTAATTTAGGAGTCCATTGTGGACAAACAACGTGACACGTAATTTATATATTGTATATTAAGATTTTACTTAAGAAGATAAAAATTTGATAAAAAAAAAAAAATTTGATACTTGAAAAATCAAACGATGATAAATCGAATCATACTAACTGTACAAAGGGTTAAAACAAAATAGAGAGAGGGAGTGAGAGATACATAGATAGAATGTGAGTGAGTGAGTGAGTGGGTGTGTTTCACTTGTAAATTTATAACTTAACCTCCCATGAATATGCAACGTAGGAAAATGTTTCGGTGAATATTATCAAACTTCTCTCGTCAGACCTCTTGTACCTAACTTTGTATCTATACTATATAAGAGAAACATACATATAACATATTATATATATATATACATATACACACACATATAAACAGAAAATTAGAGAAGAAGAGAGACTGTAAAATTCTTATAAAAAGAATTATATAAAAATATTCATCTAAAAAATTAATATTTTCAAAAAAAATGACTGCATTATCTGAAACAATGCAAATTATCTGAACTAATTGCATTAATTGAAATAAATGCGTGAATTTTTATATAAGTTTTAAATGAGCTTTATTTATAATTAAATATCAGGAGTAGGATAATTGTAGGGTTTATTTGTTATAATATTATTATTATTATATTGTTGTTATCACATTCAAAAATTATTATACGTTTTATTGATAACATATATAAACAGATAACATATTACACAGTAAGCAAGTTCTCAATTCAAAAAAATGAGACGAGTTGCTTCTGGTAACTAAAAAGTGCATGGTAAATAAACACTTCTCTAGTGAGGTTTTTTTCCGAAAAGTAGTGAAGTTTTTTCCGAAAAGTAGTACGATTTTTTCCGAAAAGTAGTGAGGTTTTTTCTGAAAAGTTTGCTTTGTAGTATGCAGTCGCACACAAACGCACACATATACAACCAGGAGTGATAACTACGAAACATAGCATAAAGAGGAGACCGAGAATAGGAAAAAACTGTATAGCTATATTCCCGTCTCATTCTCTCGCTGACTCAATCCTATATATTTGTCTCTTTTTCTCTCATTATTTAATATAGCAGCCGTTTCATAGCTCCGTTTCATAGCTCCGTTTCCTGACCGACTGCGTTCATTTACTTTTCAGA